GGCTAAATAAAATCGGAAATCATTTCATATGATAGACAATGTATTGTCTTAAAAGATATGGAGATGATGGGATTTGCCCGCTAATAGCAATAATGAACTTCGCCAACTGAATAAGTTATTGGCGTATTGGTTATCCGATTTTTCGTGCAGTGGTTAAGGGACCCACATATTATTTTAATGGAAGTGTTCATCTAATAGCAAATGAATCCCAACAATAGTAATAATGAACTCCTCCATCAGGATAAGTTATTGACGTATTGATTGTGTGATTTATAATGCTATGGAGTTGAGGGACCCACATTAATTAAAAGGGAATGTTCACCAATAGTGATAATGAAATCTTATTCTATTGAGATTTATTATATTATGTGGTTAACAAACTCATTTTAATTTTAAATATGCATGATAGTATTAATAATTCACCTTGCATATTATATGAATATATTTATATTAAGATAAAGTATGTCTAATCCATTTTATTTGCTTACTTACATATTCAATGTTTTTGGACCTCATTTATATTGACTGAAAAAGGAACTTAGATATTTTATTCATAACGTAAGGGTACAAAATTTATTTTCTACTCATAAACCTAATCCTTTTACTTTAAGATACCCAAGAGAATATTAATGCTTTTAATAAGTGAAATAAGGCAAATTGTATGAATTGGTGCAATATTCTAGAGTTTATCTCGAATACGTTCCAAGGCTAACATTTACATTATTTTATTTTCTTTAAGCATTATGTAATATGTCATTGAAATGTTTTGGTGAGATTAGATAGAGTATATGCCTAAGTACTATGTCAAATTTAAATACCATCAAGATAACCTAAGGAACTCCAGTATGATATCGGATTTTGAAAAATGATTGTTTATTGTTTAAAAATTGAACTGGAGGTCAATAGGGCTAACTTGGGTGATAAGTTTAAAATTGACATGATTATTGCCTTATTACCAAACTCGTTCGGCTTTTTCAGAGTAAACTAAATAAGGAATCAATTTGAGTTCACACTCGCTGATATTCTTATAAAATTGGTAACTTATGAAGGGATAATCAAAAGTATGGGCGTTCCTATCAATCTAACTTAGTCTATACCATCTTCTTCTAGGCCCAAGTGGAAGGGCAAAGGAAAGAAGAAGGATGATAATAGGACTAAGCTAGCACAAAACATGGGTATCCAAAAGATTAAAGGGAATAAGGCAGTGTATATTGAGGGCGAAAGAAACTGTTTCTTTTGTCGCTAACTAAGACACTGAAGGACGAACTGTCTAAGCAATGACGTGGCATAGGAAAATGTATATTTAATCATTGAGCCATGTTATGTGGTTGTATCTATTAATTCCTGATGGATAGATTCTGGAGCCACTAAACATGTTTGCAATTCGTTGCAAGGATTTCAGGAATCTAGAAGCCTCGATGATATGGATATATATTTGTACTTGACCTGATGCCAAGGTAGTAGCTAAGTTAATGGGAGTATTACATCTGAAATTAGAGAGTAAGAGAATATAAGTATTAGAGAACTATCTTTATGCACAGATGTTGGACGCAATCTAATTCTTGTTTCACTTTTGGTTTATAAAAATTGTGTTGTTATTTTATAAAACTGGTTTTATAAAATTGATTAGATGTGCGATTGCTTCCGATGCATTGAAAGATGGTTAATATATTATAACCACAAGCTCTTAATATTTACAAGATGTAGAAATTAATATTGCATCTTCTAGATTGAATGTTAAGAGAAAATTTGTTATTCCTGACTCATTGTATTTTTAGTGTCTATTTTTGGATTATAATCAGTCAAAATGAGATTCAAAGATTGGTTAAAGAAGCCTAAACCAAACTTGTGAATCCTAGTGAGGCAGAGGAGCCTAAACCAAACTTGTGAATCCTGTTTTAAAGGATAGATAACTCTAAGGGCTTAATCAGCCAAATGAAATAGACATAAAGAACAATTGGAGTCGGTACACACAGACACATATGGTCTTATGAACATCTAAGCAAGTTTACTCACGTTTTGGATAAATTTACCTGATGCGACACAATTCTTAAACTGTTGGTATATTCTGAAAGTGTCAAGACTGATGTGAAGCACAGATTAGATAAACTTATCAAAATACTTCGATCTGATAGTGGATATGAGTATTTCTTGAGATAGTGCAAAGACTATATGGTCAATGAGGGTGTTGTGTACCAGTTTTTCGCAATTGACGCTAAAATGGATTGAGGTGTCAAATAGAAATAACAAAATTCTGCTTAACATGATTAGATCTATGATCAGTTATGCTACATTATCTCTTTCATTTAAGAGTTTAGCGTTGGCGATATCGATGCACATTATGAATTGCATTCCATCTTAATCTGTCTCAAGGATACCATTTGAGCTGTGTTTTTTACTAAATTTTAGTTTAAATCACATGCACATATGGGGTAGTCTTGCACATATATGCTTGATATGGACAAGTAAGTTAAAAGCAGATCATATGCATGATAGATTTGAAAGCTACTCTAAAGTCACTAGGTTGGATTATTTTATGATCTCAATGATAAAAGTTGATTGTTTACACTCACTGTTTATCTATAGGAGAATCATATTATGAATCACATACCTAATAACATAATGTTAGAGAATATGGTATTAGTACCAGTTGTACCACATATGAACACACTTATTATAGAGATTAAGAATTGTATATGAATTCCCTATTAATGCGTCAGCATCATCTAGTACATAGATTCCTGTAACGGTACATTTATTGTAGTGGGAGGATTATCATCCAATTTGACAGAATCATGTTTTAGGTGAGACCTTTACGGACATTCCTGTTAAACATGAGTTGGACCCAGTAAGCTACACGGAAGCGTGAACCGATATGAATATAGATAATTTTGGCAAGTTGCTATGAAATCAGAGTTGGAATCTATGTGTTCTAATAAAATCTGGTATCTTATAGAACTTTCTAGTAGGGTGATACCTATGGAAGGCAAGTTAATCTACAAAAGGATACCAGAAGATTTCTTAGTAAATAAATCAAGAATGTACAAGGGAATGTCATTATTTTTCTAATTCTATATATATTGACGACATCCTGCTCATTTAGAATGATATGGAAAGTTTTGTCATCAGTCAAAAGGTAGTTGTTCAATAATTTTGAAATGAAGGATTTTCAAGATGTAAGTTATATTCCTAGGATCAAGCTTTTGTAAGATCAGGTTAAAAGAAAAATAGACTTATTTTAATAATCCTACATTGATAAAGTTTTGACCAGGTTTGGTATGCAAAACTCAAAGACTAAGTTCTTACGTTATTGGCATGGTTTGCTCTCTCTAGCATGGTTGTTAAAATCGCGATTCTGAGTCGTAGAATCGCACGATTCTACGACTCAGCTCTTAAAATCGACTCAAATCGGATCAGAATCGCCCAATTGGTAGAATCGGGGGTAAAATCGGTAGAATCGTTGGTAGAATCGTAGAATCGAACGATTCTACACGATTCTACCAATATGTGTGTTTGGGCGGGCCTTTATACTATTTGGTCTTTGGGCCTTTATTCTTTTAGTTGTTTGGGCCAAAGCCTGGCCCAAATTTTGTATAGAAAGTTATTTACCAAATTATATATTTAATTATTTATTCTATAAATCATAAAATACAAAACCTACTCTATTATACTATTATAGAATTAGAAACGGGAACCCTATCTCAGAGAGGAGTGAGGACTGAGAGGAGGCGGTAGTGCAGATGCTCATAGCGAGCAAATCGGAATCATCGGATCCATACAGCAGCTTATAGGTTCGGCCAGGTATGTTCTATATTTATTTTCTTCCTTGATCAAGAAATTTCAAGAGTTTTCTCTAATCTCTATAACCCTTCGTAGCGTGATTATTCTAAGATTGTTCTAACCTTGATTATTCTTTGATTATTCTAACCTTTTATCTACTTGTTCTTAGAAATTATTCATCATGTTCTGATAATCTTTTGCATTAATGGTTTAATTTTACTTTTAATTTTAAGTTCTGACTATCTTTTTCGATTTCTGTAGTTTTTGTTTTAAGTTTACCTGGCCATTTAAATTTTGATCACTATTTTTTAGAGCTTTTACTATGGCTAATTGAGCTCTAGCTGAACTGCTGTGACCACTTCTTTTGAAATTTATGCAATAGTTAGAGTATGAACATTATCTTTAAGTTCTGGTAGATGTACTCTTATCAGTTGAATCCATATAAATGAAGACGAGTTTGCTATGTTTTAATATGTTGTCCATAAGATATGGTTTAGCAGTTGGCATGGTAATATTTTTTACTGCAAGAATTTCTTTGATGGCATCTCGCTCTCTCTCATTTTCTGGTTCAGTAAGTTTGTTCGTGTTATGTTTTATCTTTATCTACAGTTCATGCTTTGTTTTCTGTTGCTCCGTTTGTCTTTCACACTTGGAATTCCAAAAGTCCATTTCCTCTCTCTCTCAGATTTACTTTGATACTGTATCATAGAGGAATGGTAGATCTTTCCCTGGTTCTTATCTGGTTAAGAGTCACACACATGGGAGTGTTGTCACAGACTATTGATTTGATGTGGTGTGGGATGAGTAGGTCTTCTATTTTACTCATAGTTAATAAAACGTAAGCAATTTCCAACATTAGTTTTTGTCTAATTAAGCATGCAATCAATCATGAAAACAAATAAACAAACCACACATTATTAAAATAGAGAGATTGATTTTTATGCAGAAAATAAAAATAGCCCTTTCTATCCCAATTATACATTTTACATACCCTGTTTAGACTAGAATTTTGTAATGGTAAGTCTTATCAAAGTCTTGACTTATGGCATATTAATAGCTTCCTTTTGTAGATAATGTATCAATTCTAGGGGTGTCCTTGTTGCCTGAAGTTCTCAATTTTTTCTCCTTTGTCAGAATGCTTAAACACTAGTTATATGAATTATATGAATGCAAAACTTTTGATTGGTTGAATAAATTGAATTATATGAATATTGAAATAGATGTCCTCAGCTGGTAGTTCTGGTAAAACTACAAGAAAAAATGCTCTGGGACAAATATTAGATCCGGGATGTGAACATGGGGTTGAGGATGGGACTTCAAAAAAAGTGAAGTGTCGATATTGCAACACTTCCCATTCTGGGGGTATTTATCGGCATAAACATCACTTGGCTGGCACTCATTTAAATGTTGAGCTGTATCCACAAGTGCCCGAAGAAGTGAGAACACAATTTCAAAAAATTCTTCAAGCTCATACAGAGGAAAGTCAAAAGAAGAAGAAACAAAACTTATATGATGTTGATATCGATGATGATGATAGTGAATGTATAGCCTTAGAACAATCAAAGAAGCGGAAACAAGGTGGTGCACTGGATGAATTTGTAACAAAGAATTCGTCACGGCAAACAACATTGAATGAGAAATTTAAAAAGGAAGAGAGAGATGTAGTATGTCAAATCATAGCCCGATTTTTTTTATACCAGTGCTATACCATTCAATTGTGTGAACAATCCCATATTTTCTCTTATGATTAAAAGGATTGGAGAGTATGGGAGGGGGCTCAATCCTCTTTCTTATCATGAAATTAGAGAGACATTCTTGAAGAAGGAAGTGAGTGAAGCATTGAATATACTCGAGAATTTTAGAGGAGAATGGGTGAAGACTGGATGTACTATTATGTTAGATGGGTGGTCTGACAGGAGGAGACATTCAATATGTAATTTTCTTGTCAATAGCTGTGATACCCCCGGATTTCCAGATGCGGGTTGGACAGGCCCACGCCCGATAACCCAAGGATATCAAATCAATTAGTAATTTAACGAACACAGTATACAATATAGGAAACAGGAATAAATAAAATTTTGCTGAAAAGAACAAAAATGAAAATCCTTTAATGGAAAAAAAACCTCCGAATAAACTTTATATGCAAGAACTAGTTTGAATACACCAACTTCTCCTTTACTTCTAATATAACTCGGGAATCCATCTCGTGGACCCCTACTAAAAATATTCCAATACTGAACATGAACAACTGCAAAGACAACCAACGATCATAATGAGAAGAAAATACTCCTACGTCGTCGGTGGAGTGAATAACTGTATCTGCTCAGCACGAACAAGCTCTAAGCCTGGAACTGACGAACACCTGTAAAAATAAGAGTAGGTCAGGCCCACATGCAAGTTCTATCCTAACTGCAATCTAGACAGTGACCCGATACGCAGATACACCCTAGACATCTCAGCAATAGCTATCTAGTCCATACATATATAAATATCCACACAAAGGGACATTCACTGGACTATGTAGGGGGTCTCAACCTGAATAGAAGGCAACATGCAACAATGTACCCAAAGGTGGGTATGTGTGCCTAGACCTAACAGGGTACAGCTCAACATATTATAGCCAGCTACGCATCCACTGCATATACGCACCCTAACCAACGAGTCTGAGACTCAAGCTCAACTCGTGGTACCATAAACATATATATAAAGTCTGTCCAAATCCAGGGTATGCAGTTCAACTATTTATTAAACTGACATACAATAAACCAACTAGTTAGTCATTCAACTTATTCAGTTAATATGACTTAACTACCATCCGTTAATCCAGGAAGTCATCCAACTTGGTTACAGCTGATCTGACTTAGTCACAATTAGGATTCGATATCTTTCAATCCATTCCATTAACACATTAGGTTAGGTTTATGTGTTTTGAGCTAAACCGTCCCTAGTATGTCACCGTCCCATACCGGTACATACAATCCTCCATATCCATGTAAATTACAACATATATAACAGTTCAATAATTTACAGACCCAAAAACTACCATCCAAATAATTGCAGAAAAATATTTAAAGCTTCAGCAATTTAAATCCAAGCATTTAACCATATAGTTGCAGGAGACGATTTAATAAATCAACAACTAACCTCCTAAGCATACATAGATCAAAATTAATAATTAAATGACCTTATCATGCATTTGAATGCATTCTAAAACAAGTTTTATAAACACATTATATTCCATCAAATTGCTGAAATTTAATTCAATAATTAATTTATCTTCCATTTGTTAGCAACATAGGGAGTGTCTTAATTTTTACACTGTTTGTCCCGACAATTTAGAATTAAACCCTAATCAATTTAAGGTCCTAATAACACCCAAATTCAGCCTTCTAAACTCTCTGTGGAACCCCAGACCCAACAGATTTAAAACCCATGCTCCAATAGTAAGCACAGTACGTAGAAAATTAAGAAAAAATTAAAACAAATCGTAAAATAAAAAGGGAGCCTGCTCCAAATTTTGGAGCAGGCTCTTTTTCAGCCTAGAGCCGGCTCTAGGACTCCTTAGAGCCGGCTCTACTTGTTGTGGGAGCCGGCTCCCACTTCTATGGAGCCGGCTCTCACCTCCTTTGAGAGCCTTCAGTCCCCGGTGCTTCGTTTCAGTCTGTTTGCTCTGTCTCTGGACCATCCCTACCACTCTGTTGATTTCTAAAACTCATCTTAAGAGTCTTATAACACCCTAGTAACACTCCCATGATTCATTTACAGAAGTTGAAATCAAATTAAAACTAAATTTGTTACCGAAACGAAACATGCTTTAGGAATAAAACTGAAACTATTTTGCAATATCAATTCCATTCCAATCCCCTCTGTTCCTCTTCACTACTGAACTTAGGAGTCTTATCTAATCCCAGTAGCATCCCAATCATTCGTTTACAGTAGTTGAAAGAAAATACAGTAACCAAAATTCTAATATAATTTACATGCTTTAAGAAAACAAAACTAAACAGACTTGCACGAATTGTAACAGATTTAATTTCAACAACGAACAGCCATCAATATAGCATATATTAACCATGTAAATTCCAGTTCCTGATTAATTAAACCCTAGAGACTATCTAGGTGCACAGAGCACAAGCCAAAGGGAAGGAGGAAGAAAAGAACTTGCCTGTGATTTCAGTAATGAAATCTCGGCGTCGTCTCTAAGTTTCCGGCAACTGCTAACTTCCTTCAAGCCTCCTATGGGTTTGACTTAATCCACCACAACCCTCCCTTGATCCTCTCTATTCTTCTCCTTGGTAGCTCTTATGATTTCCTCTGTTCTCTCAACTCTCTCTTTGTTCTGTTTTATTTCCACTGTGCCGTGAATAAGGTTCTCCCAACCCTCAGTAAAAACTCATACACGTACATATATAGGCACTTAGAAAACCCTAATTAAACTAGAGTTAAGACAGAAACCCTAATCAAACTAGAGTCAGCCGATAAAATCCTAATCATATACATATATAACAGATACCTATATGACGTCCCAATAAAACCCTAATCTTAAATAAAGAAATGAAAACAAATAATTAAATTAAAATAGTAAATCAAAGAATTAAAACTATATCATTTAAATCAACTTACCAAATAAACCAATTCAATTAAATCAAATAACCAATTAAATTACACAATTAAATCAAATAATGAAAGAAAACAATTAAACACCCAAGCAACTAGTCACATAAAAATGAAATAAAAATAATTAAATTACAATTTTATCCTTTTTAAAACTAGGGGTATTACATTCTTCTCCCCTAACAAACGGAATTTCGTCCTCTGAATTCACGAAACCTTGAATTATTTTAAAATTCATTTCCGTTTCGTTGTGGACTCTGCCTCTGTGTATAGGCTCCCCCACATTCTAAATCTTCCAAGAACAATTTATGGGTCCAATATAAAGGAAACACAAAAATTATTCAACACTTAAATTGTATGTAGCAACTACGCATTCTGACCCAAATTTTGATATAGGGTAAATATCCATATTCCTCCAAATTCCATAGCATAGATGTGTAAAATTTCTCCCAATGTTTGAAAACACTAATCAATAGGCTACCGCCTAAATGAAGAAAAACCATCCATGAGAAGTCAATTTAATTAATACATAAGAACTGACCTTCCTTAATAACGCTCCTTGCTTTCGATATGGAAGACATTCCAAATCAATTATTTCCTGATAGGAAAAACTATAGTGTACAAGCGGAACTAGTTACCACATCCTACTATCGCCTCCAAACTGCGCGCAATCCAACATAAAGAAGCCTATATCTCTCAAATGTATCATTAAATGAAGTTAGGGTCTAATTGTATAACCCCCGCTTCCATGTCAAACCGACAGGTAAGAGGTCTGCACCATATAAAATACAAAACCTTCTACGTTGTCATACCATCCTCCTTGTGCCAACAATATGAGAAGTGAAATAAGCACTTCCAACTTCCCATAAAAACCTAGGATACCTATCCCAAGTATCTCCTCCATGATCAAATATACATTCCTGATTCAATCCCTCGTCGAGAGATATGAAGCACAGCTATACCTCCGTCATAAATGCAATGTAGAACTAATGCGAAATACCAAAGTGAACATTACGAGAATTAGGTCTAGCAGCAAACTTGCTCAATCCACCACTCTTAATCCGTATGGAATTAACATTCCAATAGATATCAACAAGTTCTACCAACCTTCCACTTCTGATTAGTCCTACTCTCATTTTAATTTAGGCAATGGCAAAAATCACTAATGAGATTTGGTTATCCATTTACTAGAACCGACATTTGATGTCTTGATGTTCCTTATAACCGTCCGTGTGCATCGAGAAAATTTCTACGAATTTTACACCTCAGTCACTCCCGATAACACTCACTGAATCAACGAATCCTCCCCTAGTACCTTAAGTTCTTTTCTGAATAAGGTAACACTGCCTCCAGGGTCAGTTCCGACATTGGAGGTTGACCCCCCCTTAATTTCCTTGATAAAAGCAAGTGTCATTAGTTCACAAACTAAGACCCCCAACTCCTAATGTAACAACTAACGAAAAACTCCTATCGGTTGTTACAAGCTTCCTCATCCATGTTCCCTTCCACCAGACAGAACTTAACGCAAAGTGCGAATCACCACGTTGATACATCTAAGTCATCTTGTAATCCCCTCTATTCATATGAACTGATAGTTCACTAGTTCGAAATAAACAAGATCTGAGCTGATTTAATTTATAACTCAACCCTCAACTAAATTTGTAATGATGTTCTATCATTTCCACCTCGGTACAGAAAATAACTGCAAGAATTTTGTGATCTCTGATGATCCATCTCGACCATCTAATTTTGTTAGACTAGAAGAAAACCACTTTGTCCCTCCTCCTGACCCTTAAAAATTGCTTCAGACCGTGAGTGCATCATATTATCCGCCAGAATGAAGAAAGAACTAAGTGTTGTAACCCTCAATCCTTGCATCCTCCTCCTATCCTGCCTACCGAAAGTAACATTGGTTTGGTACCACCAGTTTCCGTCTACACCCATTGTATAAATCGGAGCATCTACCAAACTAACTCCGCAAACAAACATGTAGATGCGGATCCGTGATAACCTTACTGATATAGAAAATCAATCGATAATTTTGTTCACT